TACTCGCCGAGGAGGCGAGTCCGAAGACGACGGTCGCGTGGGACACATAGTAAGTCCTTGCCTCTCGAGTGGAGGAGCAAGTATCCGTCGGCAATGCGGTAATGGCTGGCCGGCGGGTGATCCGAAGATAGCTGTGCATAGAGCGTGCCGAAGTCCGGATCAGACTGATATGCCGGGATGAAGTGTCGCTGAAGCTCCTCGTCGAAAGTGAAGGCATGATGTGACGTAGCGCAAAGATCAGGTCTTCGCGAGAGTGCATCTGCTACGCGATTGGAGAGGTCGGGGACATGTTTCGGTGTGAAGTCAAATTGGTCGATGAAGTACATCCATCGTCCGATCGTGCTGCTCACCGTGTCCTGCGTCTTGTAGTAGGTCAATGGATTGTTGTCTGTGACCCATGTGAACCTACGACGCCCAAGGAGGAAGTGCCGCTAGCGCTTGAGAGCCATCACGACTGCGAGCAGCTCCTTCTTCCTTGCATCATCAAGCGAGTTGATGGGAGGCACTTTGTGGCTGAAATACTCCACAGGGTGCCAGTCGTCGTCGTCGTGCTGTTCCCTGGCTGGGCCTCGTGTATTTCCAGTAGCTTCCAATCGGGCCGAAGTGTCTGCGCCCAGGCCCATTCAGACAGTGGCCTGGGACCGAATTGGTTGAGCCTGCCCAACCACCCAGGAGTAAACATGAGGTTCTCCCTGCTTCGCCTGTGCTGCTAGAAGAGCCTAGAAGGCTCAAGAAGTATTTCTGATTCTCACGAGTGTGGAGGATGTAACCAACTGGCGCATGGCAACTGTCTGGCGCCCACCAAACTTTGCCAAAATTGATGAACTCAGGCCATATTGAAATCCAGGGGGCCGCCTTCACTTAGGGCGGGCTAATGCTTGCTGAAAGGGCCCTACAGGGGCATGCCAAGGAGCCAACTCGTAACAAGGCCTTGTCGAAGATCCATGCCCACATGGGGTTTACAACAGGCTCTGCCTGGGCCCCTCAATCTGGTCTCATAGGCCTGTAAACAAGAATTGGCACATATTTGCAGGCCCGCCTTCACTTAGGGCGGGCACGACATCTTTCAGACACTGCCGAGGATCTAAATCCTCACATACGCCGAAGAATCAATACTCGGACGATTGATTCTTCACACAGCAGAGGACAGACACAAGAGGGAGCCGAAGAAGAAGAAGAGGAAGAAAAAGAAGAAGAAGAGGAAGAAGAAGAAGAAGAAGAAGAAGAAGAAAGAGGTGGAAACACACATGGGGAAGCAACGCAGTTTTCTCGAATGCGACCAAAGGTAAAAAAATAGTGTTAAAATCACCTTCGAGCAGTCAATGTGTAGTCACGTCTCGTCTTCGGCAAAATCGTGACCACTACGTCAAATGTGCGGTGAAAGCGGCCCTACGACACGTTTCGGCCGCTCCGCCAGCTGACACTCATCAGGGGTCTGTTCGGACTGTGTCTCTGCCCTGGCCTGGCCCAGCTATAAGTAGTGCTGGGCCTCGCGGGTATGCCTCCTTGTGCCTCTGGTCCTAGGCCGGACGTGGCCTGCCGGGTCTGGGTCCCAACCGGATGTCCAGACCCTCCCTGCTGATGCAGGGACGCCCGCTACTGGACGAGCACGAACCTGGCCCAAACGGGCCTGCATGTGAGGGAACAAGGCCCAATGTATGGCCTTTGTCCGAACAGACTGGAGGTCTGTTCGGACTGCAAGTCCGAAACGATGCCTGAAAAGACAAAAAGAGGACAGCAAATAAATAAATAAATGCTGCCTCAAATCAAAACCTGCGGCCCTAAGGCCGGCCATGGGCCTCCAGGGCGCGCGTCGGAGGTGCGTGCGGCCTGGGGCCCCCCAGCAAACGCTGGGCCCTCGAAATGTGGCCCGTGTGCAAGCTCAGCATGTAACATTGGTCAGTGAAAAAAAAAAAATCAGAAAAATAATAATAATAAAAAGTTGGACCGTGAAATAAATGTCGTGCCGATTCCTCACATTCTCCATTTTTGCCACTCTACCACGTGAGGGCCAACAGAAAAAGTACCCCAGCTTCCAGGATTTTTTGTGCTCACTGCTCAGAAAAATGACTAAAAAATCTGAAAATTGGAGGGTCTGTGGATTTGGTCGTGGTCTTGCCAGGAAAAATATTATTATTATTATTATTATTTTAATATTTTTTAATTTAGAGCATGAAATAAATGCCGTGCCAATTCATCTCATTTTCCATTTTTGCCACTCTACCACTTGTGGGCCAACGGGAGAAGTATCTCGACTTCAGCGATTTTTCACGATCAAAAGAATGTGTCAAGAAATCTGAAAATTCGAGGGTCCGTAGATTTGGTCGTGATCTTTCCAGGAAAAAATAAAATAATATATATATTTTTTTAAATGGTGAAATAAATCGCAGCGATTTTTGCCACTCCCCTGGTTCTCCCCACTGTGCTAGCGGTCCTCCCGAATTTAGGACAGTGGGGGTAGTGGTGGTTTAAGTGGCATTTGAACACTGAGTTTCTGCAAGGTTGCAAGCCAAAGGCCTCCAGAAGCAGTCAAACATGGTTAAAATAATAATAATAATAATAATAATAATAATAATAATAATAATAATAATAAATCATTATCTCGATAGCTGGTGCAAATTGTACCTGCCGTTGACATATCTATGTTTACTACTATAGTCCATGACGATGTCTCTGTCTTTTGTCTGATTCTGCTTCCGTACTGTGCAGATTCTGCTGTTGGATATAGACCAAACATGGTGACTCAGGCAGGGAATAGCATGTCTGTCTTGCGAAAGATTCTAGAATCATTTATGTGTCGTCGGACGAAGGCAGAGTTAATCCAAGCAAACATCCTCACTCTTCCACCTTTGACATCAGTTACGATGTAAGCATTCACGCTTTTTTCCAAAGGCGTTGGCCCCTCATAATCTGTTGATCAACAGTTACATGTGTGTACCATTCAGCCACAACGGATTCATACTTTTCAAAGTTTTCATAAAGCTTAAAAGTGAAAAACATGATGGCTCTAATGTATTGGTGGGGAGCTGCACCTTCTGGAAACGTGCTCCAGTATCCCAAATATTTCAGAATCGTTCAGACCATATAAATAGAACCTTTTACCTTAACACATCCCTTCGTTATGACCGTGGAACCCCTTAAACCACCTCCACCTCCGAGCCTCTTTTTTATGTGACGGATTTGTGCTGTGCAGCAGGTTCAAAACGAACCGGCACAGCGCTCGTTTTTTTAATATCTTGGTTGGCATCGGCAGCCGAAGAGGTTCAGGAGGCCGAGCCCCCGAAGAATGCGGATGTAAACCAATTCGTTGTGAAAGTTTGCCTGTGAAAAGTAGTGGTGGTTTAAGAGAGGGGTGTAACACCAATCTAGCCCTTGTGCAATCAGACTCGTTCTCATTTACACTTTTCATGCATGTAAACAGCAGCGCAGCAAGCTGGCGACGTGCGCCCACTCAAAACTCAGAGAATGGCATCCAGATACAAGTTCACTTTCAACTGGCTATGGCGACTCAGCGCCCAAACAACTCACTGTTCACATACACCGGATCACCCTGGATATCCCACACGCGTCACTCTGAACACTCACACGTACACACACACACTTCACACTAAACTACGGCTATGGCAGCTATGGCTGCCTCTACCCTATCGCTATGCTACGCTCCTTCTCTCTTGCCCACTTCAGCTCCGGGCTCTCTGCAGACCTCCTTGCACAAGTCGCTGTGGCAGCGCTTCCGCATGGCTCACGCAGGAATGAATGCAAGGCTGGGCGCTGCCTCTTGATTTATACTTCTGAAACTCGGTGGTCTGCCCCTTTCCATCGGCCCATGGTGCTCACAGTCCCTCGTGGTACTTGCTGGACCGGACTGGGACTGACTGGACCTTACCGCTGACTGACTGTGGACTCACTGCTAACCTACCGTAGTCGTACTGCGATTGCACTGCATTTTAGTCCACCACTTGACTCACCACTTGCCCACTTGCCCACTTGCTGACCTTCTAGAAGGACTACAGCTAGGCTTCTGGAATTCGCTAAGACTCCTACTCTATAGATCTACAGATCGCACCCCTGCTTCCTTTGGGACCCTACGACAGACTACTCACGGTTACAAATACACAGGTCGCAGGTTCAACTCTCGGGGTCTACACGGATACTGTACATACGTAGGGCAAGGTCTAGGGATCGAACCTTGGGATCTGCATCTGCTACTGCTAAGAGGTGAAAACCGTTTCACTCCCGCCGTCCTAAATTCGAGGTCCTCCGAGAATATTTCAGTCCAAGGCAGGACCTTTACCCTTCTTATCGCCCTCGTAGGCTCTGACTATGTCGGGAGCTGTCTCTAGAAGCTCTGTTCTTGTAAACCAGCGGTCGTCTTCTGGTTCCTGATAAGCAAACCGTGCCTTATGCTGTTTCTGGGGACGACCTCTACCTCCTGTTCTGAACACATCCTCATCTACAATGCCGTCGATGTCATAACTTCCGTCCATATCCGGGGGGATCATGGATCTTCTTGAAGGGAACTATGTAGGACGGTCCATCTTCCTCGCCCTTGACTTCTAGAACCGGCCACGGTCCTCTATATGCGGGCAGCAATTTCTGCGAGATGTGCTCCTCAGGTGCAAACTCTTTGGACTTGACCCAGACTAAGTCGCCTACTTGGAATTGAGATGGGCGNTTTCTGCGAGATGTGCTCCTCAGGTGCAAACTCTTTGGACTTGACCCAGACTAAGTCGCCTACTTGGAATTGAGATGGGCGACGATGTTTGTTTGTCTGTTCTATCATTCTGTGTTGGGCCTTCCTGAGGTTTTCAACAACTGTTGCTAGCTCTTTCTTGTGCTGTAGTGCGAACTCCCTGGTACCGGGCGGTAGTCTGTGAATATGATCCCGGTTCAGTCCTTCGAATGGTTTGCGTGGTCTAAAGGACTTGTGCAGCTCGTTGGGAGTGCGGCAGGTGGATAGATGCACACTGTTGTTGTATGCACTAGCTACCTTAGGCAACATATCATCCCAGTTGATCTGATCAGGTCTAATGTACATGCGCAGAACTTGCTGTAGGATCTTGTTCATCTGTTCTGTCTGACCGTTGGTCACTGGATGACGGCCAGATGACATTAACAACTTGGACCCGTAAACTCTCATGAGTTCTTGCCAATTCTGGCTGGTGAAACGACTATCTCTATCGCTAACTATGGATAATGGGACTCCGTTCTCACTAACCCAATGATCAAAAAACTTCTGAATAACTAATTTTGTGCGTGCCTCTGCGGGCAAAGGAACAAAAACGACATACTTGCTAAAACGGTCAACTATGACCATGACTTGGCTCTTACCATGCCTACTCTTGAACTGAGTATCCATGAAGTCTATGGACACTGAGTCTCCAGGTTGATCAGGAATAGGCAGTGGTCTGAGAAAACCTAGGGGCGCGCGTGTAGTACTCTTACTCCTCTGGCACACTTTACAACTGCGGACATACTCTATGCAGTCATTTTTCATCCCTCGCCAGGTGTACGCACGCATCAGATTGGCTAATGTCTTCTGCCAACCGAAGTGTCCCTCTGTGTCATGGCATTCCCCTAGGATCAGACTACGGATTTCCTCACTATTGGGAACGCATAGACGGTTGAATACATCTGTCTTCTCAAACAGCAATCCCTCCGTAGCGCGGTAGTGTGGTTCGGTCCTTGGGGCCTCCTTAACCCTCTTGAGGAGGTCACTGTAGATAGGGTCCTGAGCATACGCTTGCTTTACTTTCTCCTGCAGGTCTCTCCCTATATCTAGATAGTGTACTATGGCTCCAAAGTAGTCTGATCTTCTACTTAGAGCATCCGCAACTACGTTGTACTTGCCCTTCACTGGCTTGAGCTCAAAGTCGTACTGATCTATTTCAGCGGCCCACCTAGTTAGCTTAGGTGTCATCTTGGCCTGAGTCTTTAACCATCGAAGCGTCTCATGGTCAGAATACACTTTGAAGTGCCTCCCAAGCAGATAATGCTTCCAATGCTCTAAGGCATGCCTGAGAGCGTAGAGTTCTCTCTCGTGCGTCGAGGTAGCAACCTTCTCTGAGGGCATCCTCGCTGACATGAACTCTACGGGTCTGTAGCCATTGTCGTCGTCTTGCTACAACACGGCGCCTATCCCATACTGACTCGCATCCGTGGTGACGACAAATGGCAAAGACGGATGGGTTACTTTGAGGACAAGGGTACTCTATCAATGTGCGCTTTAACTTCTTTAGCGCAGACGTACAGTCTTTGTCCCATTGCCAGATTGCCTCTTTCTTTAGCAACCTGCGCAAGGGAGCGGCGTTAGTAGAGAAGTTCCTCACGAACTTCCTATAGTAATTAGCTAGGCCTAAGAACGATCGCAACTCTGTCAATGTGTGGGGCGTCGACCAGTCTCTAATCGCCGCTATCTTACTGTCCTCTGGCTTAATGCCATCTCCGTCTAACACGTGGCCCAAGTACAAGACTTGTGTCTTAGCCCACTCGCACTTCTTTGCATTGATCTTGAAGTTAGCCTCTCTAAGCTTTTCCAAGACCTGCCTCAAATGACCCTGATGCTCCTGGAGGGTCTTGCTGAAGACCAATATATCATCTAGATAGACTACTACAAACTTATCTAACCATGGTCTAAACAAATCATTCATTCAACGCTGAAAAGTAGCTGGCGCGTTGGTTAGTCCAAAGGGCATCACTATAAACTCATAATGCCCATATCTAGTCCGGAACGCAGTCTTATACTGGTCATCAAGATGGACCTCTATCTGATGGTATCCGGACTTCAGGTCTATCTTAGAGAAGTACTTGCAACGCTGCACCCGATCTAGAAGACCGTCTATCCTGGGCAGCGGTTCAGCATTCTTTACAGTAATCGCATTCAAACCCCTATAGTCTATACACATATGAAGCTCTCCTTCCTTTTTGGGGACAAACAGGACTGGTGCTCCAAAAGGAGATGAACTGGGCCTGATCCAACCTTTCTCGAGGAGCTCGTCTAACTGCCTGCGCGGCTCCTCTAACTCTCTAGGGGACATCCTGTACACTTCTCCCTTAGGAGTTCTACTGCCAGGCTCTCTCTCTATTCTGTGTTGGATGGGTCATGGCACTACTCCTGTCGGCGACTCAGTCAAGTCTTTGAATTCCTCCAGCAGCCTGGCTATGGTTGGATCTGTGGAACTGCCTTCTTTCTTGGCCTCAGTGATAGGTCTGACATAAACTACGAAGACTTGGTCCTCTAACTGCTCCTTTTTCACTAGTCGCGCGAACGCGGGAGCACTGAGACAGCAATGTGCCAAGGTGTTGTCTACACCTGACACATGGAATAGGCGGGCAGTCTTGACCTCGCCTGATGGACTAGGGAGCCTACACTCATGCTCTCTCAAGTGGAGTGTGGCCCCTGTTGCCTCTCCCCAATCCATTCCGAATACTACGTCAAAGGGAAGGTCATCCTGAATGAGGAGAGTCAGGGAATGGAGGACTTTCTCCACCTTTCCATCCTTCTCCAGGCGAAAGTACGCCTGGACTCCCTCTACATAGTCCTCAACTCGCATCTTGCCGTTGTCTGCGAGGACACTGACTATGGGGTCTGCTAACTTTTGGACTTTTAGTCCTAGCCTCAGCTTCTTCAACGCCCTACGGCTAATATAACTGCGGGTGGCCCCTGAATCTATAAGGGCCCCTGCTCTGCTTCTAAACACTTCTACATCTACCAAGATCAGTTGTCCCTTACTCTCCTTCTTCATGCTCTTCTGCCACACCTGTGAGGGACGTGCCTAGAGAGATGCTAACACAAGCAGTCTCTGGACAGCTAGCTAGGCACAGGCCTGCAACCTCTGCCATAGGCTGATGTGGTTTGGGAGTTTC